AGATAGCTCCCTAATTTGGTGTCTTTAAATATGGCAACTTCACATAAAGATAACAAATAAGTAAACTATCTACTAAACAACTGAAATATTGTTGTTGTTTCAGTTGCTTAGTAGATACATTCCCTAAATTGGTACTCTTATGTGGGAGTTCCATACTTAAGGATACAAAAAAGGGCACTGTTTAGCAGATAACTCTCTTATTTGTTGTTCTTTAATATGGCAGTCCCACATAAAGATAGTAAATAGGGGAGTTATCTGCTAAACAGTTGAATGATCAAAATTAAGAGGCATCATTAGCCAGCCCAGAACAAGAATTCCAGGTAGCTAATGTAAATTCTGTACCAGCATACTGGCACCTAGCAGCCAATGGTGGTATGTTACCCCACTCCCAGTGGAAACAAGTAGTGCTTCCCCAGTATTGTCTGTGGTATTTTATGTGCCCTTCCTCTATATTGTTCATTAAGTCACTTGAGTGTAAGCAACAGGTTGCCCAGGTTGTCCACTGCATGTGTAGGTGGGAGCCACATCCTCTTGTGATCTGAAGCATGTAGTTAGGGCCTCAGTGATGCCACCTTATTTTATTATTATTGATAGTTACTGCCAGTTACAAACTTTAAATTCCTTTTCGTAAGCATTAAATGCCATTAAAGCAACCAGTGATGGTTTTTCCCTTCCAACCTGTTGTCCATTTCTCATCGATTCATCATGGGAAGTTTTGGAAAGTTTTGGTGAATGAAGGTTGGACTGATTTAGTTACTCATAGGGATAATAGGATATCTTCCGCTTATATATTGCAGAGCAAAATGTGGCAGCTGGTATAAAATGTGTAAACAGAGAACATGCTCAGATATGTTTTTTAAATTTAGACACAATTCAGATTAATCTTTGATGGTTTTCAGAATACATGTTTATCATGTCCATGAGTTGATCTAGTGTCGTTGTATCTTGTTATTTTTGTATTTTATATTCTATATTCTGTTATATTAATGTTCTTCTCCAAATCCATTTACACATGTTCTTTTATGATATGTTTCACTTAACCTTTCTTGTCACTATTCACATTATCTTATTTATAGGTATATAGATTCAAATGTAATTTTCTTAAAAACAGACTTATTACTGTTAAATCCAACAACAGCTAAGCGATTACTCACCAACCCAAATATTTATTCCACTTGACAATATCATCTGTCATCATAATTCTAATTTCTGATATGAAATTGTACATTTCGATACTTGATTTAACAACCAATATTCTAAATGAGAAATGATTTGTTGCATATTTTTTATTGTATTACGTGATGAAAGGAGAAAGGAAAATGACATCTCAAGGATATTTTACTCTTTATTAAACACAAGTAATTACGTCAGATCATTTTCATCATCACGATTTGTATGTTTCAATAATTACATTATTTTTAGAACATTTGAAAGATTAATAATAACACCTGATTAATTTAGATATTTACACCAATGATATGTTTGTTTGTTTGTTTGTTTCTCCAAAACTAACTGAAAATCTTGTGTCCTCTACTTTACATTGTCTGTTGAAATCTTTAAATGCCTTTGGAGAAAAAAGTGAGTACCTAAATCTAAATCTAAGATATATTACCTACAACTAACCCATTTTTCTTTCATGGATTGTGTTATGTGTTGTAGATATCCATTTCTCTTCTGTGACTCTATAAAAAATATGCATGCATGTTTATTGAATAGAGCAGCCATTTGGTACAAATGTTGGCATAATATGATTCATAAAAATACCATTATTTCTTAATTTCTCTGTTTCATGTGGAAATGCTGAACACATCCATATCTCATACATATTTGTTACATCTTTTTGCAAGTTTTTACCGTAAAGTATCATGAACATGTATTTCAATGCATTTGGTTTGTCTCCCATAAGGAGGGTAACACGAAGAAACAAGATGCATCAGAAGAATTGGTTGTATATTGTCATGTTTCTGTGGCTTCTATAACTGGAGCAAACTTTTTTGTTTACATTTCATTATCTGCTTTGTGCCAAGTTAAAGTCAGGCTCCCATAGTTTCAGCACAGGTCCTGTGTCAATTATGGTGCAAATTGCATCCCTAGTGCTGTCTCCTGCATTGATTATGTGGCAGGACTCGCAGTCTGGCATCAATGCAGACCATTCTGACAAAGAAACAATGCTGGTTACTTAGACTAACTAGGTAGCAACATTCCTGCATTTGTACATATGACACTGCTCCCTGTGTTGTTCTGTCTACCAAAAAAACCCAGAGTCAATTATGGGACAAGGGTATAAAATGATGCTGCTCCACTTTATCATTGCTCAGTTGTTGCAGAGCTATAGTGTGTGTACCAGTGATTGTTGAACTCTGACCCTTGTTCCTGACTCTGATACTCTGCCAACTTCCCTGACTTGTTTGCCTGTTCCCGACTATGCTCCTTGCCTGCTAATAGGCTTACATCACTTTTGGCCTTTGCAACTACACCCACTACGTGAGATGTCTGGTATTATCTCCAGCTTCTCTGGTTATTAGTTTTCTGTTTATATAGGGCATTTTACTGCTTGTAAACTCAGTTACGCAACTGTGTGATAGACATAGTCAAACAAGACTATGTACTTTTTGAGATACCTCTTTATATACCTTTGTTGCACTTGTTATGCAACTCCACTTGTTCAACTGAAATTCAGCAACACCATGAATGTTTTACTAAAGGATAATTTAGCCATTTTTGAAATATTAAAGACCAAGGAGTCACCAGCCTTGGCTCTCCAACTTTTAAAGACTAGATTTTTAGAGCTGGCTTGCTATTTAGTGATAGAAAATTCTGTAAATTTTAGTCTGACAACAGCTGTGTGGCCAAGGTTGGGCTTGGTTGCTCTGGACAGTAGTACGCATGACAAACTCAGATGGGAGGTGAGTAGATGTGTGCAAAGGGGAAACGGTTCTGTTCTTTTGAAACACTATCAGAAATTAACCGGCTAAGCCAGAACAGCAGTACAAAAAGAGACTATGACTGTGCTGGCATGAAAAAATGGCAAGCAAAATCATCCCTTTTGAGTTAACAAAATTAGATTATTATGTATCTGGATTTAAAATATATATATATATATATATATATAAAGATAGTGAGAAAACTGGTTATAGAATGATTGTTTGTAATCTTTTTCCTTTTGCTATCTCGTATTAATAAAAAAAAAAATGGGATGCATGAGTAACTGAAAGTTCAAAATATGGGACTTCTCAAAAAAGTAAGGGAAAAAGTAAGTGGGCAAGTGACCACCCACTTACTCCTTCCACCCTAACTAGAAAAACTCTTTCCTACACTTCCAGTTTTTAGCCGAGGTTTCTGACTGTTCCTTTTCAATCTGCCCGTGTCCCCTGCTGGCATTATTCATTACCATCACCCCTCTGTACTTAAGGTTAGTAATGAAGTAGCCGAGGAGGTAGTGCTGGTGGTAGATTTTGACAACTACACAGACTCAGTAACAGAATCAGTGGACCTGCTGCCTCCTCAAATTCTTTCTTGATTGCTCCCTCCCTCAGTAATACAGACTTTTATGATCTTTGCAGATGTTGCTTCATACCGACACTAGTGAGATGACCCTTCACTCATCTCCTATTCGCTTCCTTGACACACACTTTGCACGTTGGCCTTCTAGAAGTTCCTTTTTTTAACTCATTTAAGACATGTAAGAACTGACTCAATAAAACATGACTTGCCTGATCCTTGTTAAGAAAGAATTAAGATTTAAGATTTTATACATGTATATGTTTTTACATCTGAACAACACTGCCAAGATATCTGTTAAGAATGGGTTAATCTATGCCAGCAGTGAGTACTAGATTTTCATTATATTTTATGGCATGCCTCCAGCTACAAACTGTGGTCTGTCTCTTTTTTCATTTAAGTACAACATGCACTCAGGTCCCAAGTCCTTTCCTATGCCAACTGGTCTGTATCCAATTGGAAATGTGCAAGATCCTTTTTAGAAAATACATAATCACCAAGCAGATTTAAAATTAGAATAATAGTTGGGCATGGCAAATCCACCAGCAATTTTGGAATTTATTGAGAATCAGCCAATTGGTCCACATGATATGAATATTTTTCAACATTTTCAGCAGAGTAGGTTATCGATCATTGTCAAAACAAAAAGACAACTACATTTTAAATAAAATAGAAATTTACTCGTTCATTTCCAAGTTGTCTGCTCCAAATATTGGCAAAGGCTCCTTCATGTGGTCATAAATGGTGACATTTATGTTAATAAAGAATATGAAATTGGTAAATTATTTGACAGATATTATTAGATATGTGCAACGTGAAAAATAATTTAATCAGTTTAAACAAACAAAAAAAAAGAAACAGTTAACGCTATATAACGGTATAAGCTGTTTATAACAAAGTTAAAGTTTAGATTATATTGTATAGTTAACTTGGGCATAGATGTGTACCACATGCATACAAATGGTGAAATTGTTTAAAAATGCCCAAAGTGTTAGTACCTTATTTTTTGTTTACAGTGCATTTTGCATATATTTGTAGGAATTTATAATAGTATAGTTGAAAACAATAACTGATATTTGGTGGAGTCATGTTGTCAATTCCAACCAGCTACATTTGTATTCCACTTTTAGTTTCATAGTAATTTGGGCTGAAAATTCCATCAAGTTTAGCCTTTCACATTTCTGTGTTTCTGCTGTTGATCCAAAAGAAAAAACAAACAATTTAGAAATGTGCCATTAAATGGTAAGAATGATTACTTCTTGACTCCAAAAAAATAATTAAAGAAAATAAAAATAATAAAAAAAAATGAGTGCGCTGGATCTTGTGTATTGTATTATTTGGCCCCCAGCAGCACCCCCATTTATGCATGTTAAGGTGAGTGCAGCCAACCCCCTCTTGTTTTATATATATATATATATATATATATATATATATATATATATATATATATATAATCTCACAAAAGTTTTTTTTCATGAACGTGTTTATTTTACAGGATCAATGCAGTGTAACCATCTTAGACAGATTCCTGTACTGGGGGTTCGTAACCATCAGCCCGCTCCACTTTAGCGCCAGTCTCATCGCAAGAAGGCTTGCCAGCACTTCCAGCTTCTCCATGCAGTTCCATTCGTTTGCCCAGCTCAAACTTTGGCTTTTTAAGCATCTTCACTTTGCGTACATAGACATCATGTAGAGGATAGATTGACTGGCAGGCCTTTTTAATGTCTTTGCCTATGCTGTCTGGAATCAGTTTGTTAACAACTTCCTTCAGGTCATTTATCTGCACTTCACTAGTCATGATTTCCATCATCTTCTTGCGGATCTGACGGACCTGCTGATGTTGGGCATAGGAAGTCTTCCTGATCTGATTATTATGCATTTTGGTAAATCCCACACAGACTAGGTGGAGCAGATAGCCATCTGTGGTCTTTACATCAACATGGGCCTCAATCATTGTCTGCCACTTCTTGACCATGGAACACATTTTGTCACGGGTCAGATCCATGCCATGGAAGTTGGTTAGACAGTTCTTGCCCTGGACATCTTCAGTAATCAGCTTGAATTTACAGAAAGCCACTTCATCATTCTGCAGGTCAGCAAGGCTCACCTCAAAGACACGACCCTTGAGCCCATCAGAGGCAGTTTTGGTTCCCTGTGTTCTGGTGACCAGAGTCTTCCCCAGGTTACGAATGTTGAACATTGCTGGTGCCTTAACGTCATACCAATCTTTTTTGGAGAATGGGTCAACAATCTTCTTCTTGGCACCTTTTTTGCCACCTTTGGTCAGCCGCTTATTTTTGCCGACTGCCATCTTGCCGAGCTGGGTGAGCCATCCCTCACATTTATGTAAATATTTTATTATATTTTTTCATGTGACAACACTGAAGAAATGACACTCTGCTACAATGTAAAGTAGTAAGTGTACAGCCAGTATAACAGTGTAAATTTGCTGTCCCCCTCAAAATAACTCAACACACAGTCATTAATGTCTAAACTGTTGGCAACTGGTGTGGACAACTGTTCCTGCCACATATTCCTGTGATGCTCCCTACTGGCTAGGATGACTCACCCATGCTGGGCACACCACTTCAGCACCACTCTTCTGCATTGTCTGACTTCTCTTTTCCTCTCCACAACCTCGGCATAAGGCGAGAGTAATTCAACACCCCTGTAGTTAGTTTAAATTGGATTTGTAACTTTCAGGAAATATGCAAAGACCATTGAAAGTGATGGATCTGGTGTTGGTCCAGTGGCAGTGGGTTGCAGTGGAAGGTAAGTTTTCTAACCTCAAGCTGTCCCTTGCAGCCACCATATTTGTCCTGGAGGTTCAGTTGCCAGGAGCCAAGCCAGTGCTGTAATCTCACAAATGTGCAAGACCTGCCTTTTGTCAACTTTTGTCAACCTCAGGCTTGTTCATCAGACAAAGTAATTCCAACTCAGTCTTGATCGGTATTCCATTTAGATTATATCCTTATGAAAAATTGAAAAGTGACAGATCTGCTTTAATATCTGGTATTACCTGGTAAATATTTTAATAGTTTACATATTAGTGGGTTTAAGGTCTATGTTTTAAAAATCCCTCCTACTAATACTTTAGTTTGTGTGCTATTGTAATGTCAGAAACGATCACATCCAATAAAATTTGTGACTGGATATAAAATGACCTGCCAATTAGGCATGTCCGTAAACACCACTGGAAAAAAAAAACAGAATGTCATTCATTGATTCATAGCTTCCTGCTAACTGTAAACTAACAGACCATGAACAAAAGACAACCATTCTGTCAAAATTGCATAATGAAAAACAACATGAAGTGTTATTAGTATAAGGGGGGAGGTGAGGGAAGCAGTTGAACTGCTTGTTACTTGAGCACATCAGAATAATTAATGCCACTTAAGAGATACATTGTGGTATCACAAAGATTCTAAGAATTGAATCTGCATTGTTAGAATAACACATCGTTACATAATACATATTATTTTGAAGCAGCTATATATAGATAACAATAAACCAAATAGTATTGGAGAATACTGCCATGGAGGGTTTTGGCATCATAAAAAAAACACAAAACCAACAGGAGTTAAGCAAAGAGTGAGTGTTAATTAATGATAGGGTTAAAGGGCTACTCGAAGCAGCATGACCACATTAGTGATTTGAAGTGATCATGGTGCCTGTAGTCTGTATTGTGCAGCATTTCAGTACGAAATGCTGCACAATACAGAGGTTAATCCCTTTGCTGACTGTATCCAACTCCACCTCCCATAGCGTCTTTGGGACATCATTTAATTCTGTGCAAATTTTTGTGTGCTATTCATTGGCTGAGATCAGTCAATGTGACAAAACCAGCCTTGCCACTGGGCATTGGAGAAGTCTGATTGCCAGCCTCCTGCCCTGTGACTATGGCCCCATGTTGAAATGCTTTATTTTCCCCTGCAAAGACCTGAAAGCGGGGTCATTCGGTACTTTCCCTATTTGAACAGTGATACCCCAGATAGCTATGCCATGGAGCCCATTCGTATAATGAAAGACTATGTGAAAGACTTTGGCTCCATGACAATTGAACTGTATGTATGTGATCTGAGCGACATTCAGTAATAATGTGCGCTCAGATCTAAGCTATCTGGGGATATGTTGAATGTACCTGTTTTATGCAATAGCTGCACAGTTATATATTTTTATGTATTTTATTGTCTTTTGCTACCATGTGGCTAATGGAGTTTTGCCTCTGTCCTTGGAGATAATTGGATTACTTCCCAATTATCTCCAGGATAGAAGACTCTGTGGAACTGGTTTTGGGCAGAAAAGCCATGCTTCATTTGGTCACAAAGGACGTCGATCTAATTTTTGACCCACTGGACCAATTTGTATGATTTTTATGTGAATGTGATGCATACTTTTAAAGTTATGAATATTGTGTAAAACTGTATTTCTCTGCCTGTGATAATTACATTAACCCATTGTGTAAGGTAATTGTATCACAGGCAGAGGGGAGGATTTTGTGTGGGAGTGTCTGAGTGTATTGTATGTATTTATTGGTTGTTTTACAAAACCCTGTGGGTGGTACTAATGTGTAAGAATGTGTATATAAGAACAATAAACCCACAGCTCTGCCTGTTCTACTTCACCGTCAATTTGGAGTGCCTTCTCTTATTGGGGTTATCTGCTACAAGGGATTGCTATGCTTGACATACTCCCTTGCTAAATCACTGCTAAGCTCTTTTAAGAGCTTGTTCCTGTCTTGCTCTCTGGAGGGGTCTACGGTGGTTATGGTGTCGGCTGGAGTGCTTGGAGCCGTCAGGAAGCGCTAGGAGCATCCTTCAACGGAGGTACCCAGTCGGGGTGCCCGTCGATCCGTTACCGGCAGCTAATGCTCTGAACCAATGAATGGAGACTCTGCAGGAGCAGGGTACATGTCAGCAAATCAAGAGGCTTGGAGCTCAGAGGCTTCAACAAGCTGTGGTGTTATGATGCTGGGAGTAACCTTTTAAGGATAGCGCTAGGGTGCTAGTGCTTGAGTTCCTTTACTCTTAGGACAAAAGCAAAATGTACATGTCTAGTTTGCCTGACAATAGTGGGAGATATACTACCAGGTGGCAATTGCCATTTGCAGATGCCACTATTAATTCAGATTAGAAGAGGACATAACTCCCACTAATCTCAGGCAGACCAGAAGTTCACATGCTGTGTTGGCAGTTTACTTCTCACATTCAGAGTTGGTTTTGGATAACCAAGTTTATTTTGTGTTTACTCTTGTTTGAAGATCTGAAATCATTTAGTAGAATGGTGGGTCTGTCATTTAAGAGTTAAATCACATTGTTTACACAGCCCTAGACACACCTCCCTGCATGTGACTTGCACTGCTTTCCTAAACTCTTCCTCTAGAGAGATCTAATGTTTACACTTCCTTTATTGCACATCCTGCCTAATCTAGAATTTTGTATCTCCTGCTTTGTTAATAACTTGCTACAGCCTTCAGGGTCCCCCTGTGTGTGAATAAAGTTCAATTTACAGAACAGGAGATAAAACATCTAAAGTGAACACACTCATGCAGGTTGTGTCAGTCACACCCAGGAGAGGTGTGGCTAGGGCTGCATAAACAAAAACAAAAGTGATTTAACTCCTAAATGGCAGATAATTAAGCAGTAAAACTGCATTATCTATACACCAAAACTACACCATTAATCTTTAATTAACATTAAAGTTGTTTTGATGCTTCGTTATGTTGTTTTGATGTTTATTTAGTAGTCTGGTTCTACCTGATGTGAATATTTAATGTGCTCATTAATAAAACCAAAGATGGCTAGGGCTGCACTCACCTGAACATGCAAATATTATAGGGTGCTGCTGGGTCCAAAATATACAACATACAAAATACAGAATCCAGCGCACTCGCTCATTCACTAAACAATGATTTAAAATCTTAGAGATTGTAATAGTTTTATTTAAAAACGCCTCACCTAGGGAAAAAATAATGGGGGTTTAGTTACATTATATGATCATACATTGCATAAGCCTGCCACAACGTCAATGTACTCCATTCTTGGCAGGTCCTACTCTAGCAGCCTAATGCCTGCTCTTATGAGATCAATCCACTTACTTGAGAACTACTTCCTACTGAGGTCAAGGCTAAATAGGATCCTGGAATGAGGCACCTGTGACAGGGAGGGGTGGAAAACCAAGGAGTTGGGCTGGACTCCCAATTATATAAATTAAACCAAAGATTTCTAGGGATCATTAATGCCTGTATATTTAATAATCTATGTAGAGTTGCCTGGATTAAGCTATGGATCAGAAAAGTAAAACAGTATAAATTAAAATTCTATACTGTAGAGTACCATATTATCCTTCTCTACTTGCTATTTATTCAAGTGTTCTCATTGTTTCTGATAAAGAAATTAGCATTTTTCTGCTAAAAATACAGTAAGGTGTTTGTTAATAGCACTGCTTCTTCTGTTAAGTAAGTTTGAAATGTACTTGGATATGAAACCTCTCTCTATATGAATGCCTCTGAGTTATAATTATTACATAGACATAGACATAAAAGCTCTATTAACAATCTGTACTGAAAACTGTAAATACATGATAATTTTATTAAAACACGTTTTTTGCACTAAAAACCATTTTCAGCAATGTTACTAATCTTTTATAGATTTACAGGTAAAGAGAATAAAATGCACATTCTGGCAAAATCTATTTAGGAAAAAAAAATCTCAGTATATTTAGGGTCTAATTATGGAGTCATGACATTGCACAAGCTTATTATAGACCTTTTCAACATACAAATCGCACGCCAATCCTCCCAGTCTTTGTTCATCATTCACATAAAATATTTAGGTAAACAAACCATTGTTTACATTTATGCAGAATATATTTAGCCACTTTTCATGTCCTCTCCTCCCACTTTCTATGTGTGGTCCACAATAACAATAAATCACTAGTACAAATTCATGGTGTAAGGAAATTCCTCCTTTCATATCTAGAGGCACATTTCCTCAGAAAATGTGGCAACAGACAGAACCTGCTTCATGTGCCTCTATCTTACATCAAGTAGAAATGTGCATGTTTGAAAGAAACATTCCATTTGGTTCCTGTAATGAGTACTCTATAGCATATATATCACGTGGTAAAAAGGCAAGGGAAAACCCAGAATTTTTCTCTAGCTACAGTCCAGCTAGACTCGTGTTGACGTTGAAGCCATAGTTTGCAACAGCCCCATTTTTGATGAGACAGTACCATGGTTTGGGCTCCTCTCCTGGTAAAAATGTGTACTAGGACATGTCCCACAGGCTGTACCTAGGCTCCTGCCAGCTTACTTACTGTGCAGAGGCC